ACATATGTTGATTGTATTTTTAATTTACACATAAATTTTATGAAATTTAACAGCGCAACAACAAATTTTGGCTGCCCTTGCAAGAATGGAGACTCGGCAAGAAGAAATATTAAAAAGGCTTTCCGCCGTAGAAAACGCCCTTGCCGAGAAGGTAGGCTTTTTAAATTTAACAAATGTTTAAACTTTGTTTTACACTTTATTTTATTTTCAGATGCCCGAGCGTTGTGAAGTTCAAGCGCAGGGTCAACTGCTGCGTGAATGTAAGGTGCTCTCTGCGAAAACCCACCGCAGTGTAAGCCGAATCACCGGTGACTTGGTAAGTGAAGAGCAAACTTTACTGCAAAGTTTGCTACCAATGTCATCGGAGGGAACACTGCATAAGGTGGAGGAGCACCTTCAAAACAAGGCACACGCTGACGCTATGGTAAGTTACAGTTCTGCTCAACAACGAGTATAGTTTTTCTTTTATCAAATATATATATGTATATATTTATATGTATAAACTCTAATACATTTAAAGGTGGGCATCATCATGCAGCTAAAAACATCAAGGGGTACAGTGGAGAAAGTGCTGCAGTCGTTATTCAGCGACGAGTTGGTGTGGCTGTACAACTTCGATGGAAAGGCTGGGAAAAAGCCACTAATTAAATTAAAAACTGTGGAGCTAGTTCTCGGTAAGTGTTGTGATATTTAAACAATATTACACTACTAATTTTTTAATACTAACAGCCGCATTTGCAAGTATGCACTCTGACAAAATTTTAGCAATCAAGCACTATGTAGTTTTAAGTCATAATAGATATAAGCAAAATCGAAGAAGATGCCAAAATAGTAATTAATTTTTTCTTATTTTCTCTATATAGTGCTTCACAATTATACATCACTCACTTATTGAGAAGTTGCGACCAATAATTTGTATATTTTTAAATTTTTTTATGAAAAATTAAGTTCATTCTTTAACAAACACCATATCGACAGCCAGTTCGCCCTATCTTATTTTCAATATATGTACACACATTTTTTCAGTTGAGATACGGAGTTTTTGAACCAAATTCTGAGATAGGGCGTTCAACCGAATTCTGAGAATGGCTGCTTTCGAACCGGCTGTCGATATGGTGTTTGTTAAAGAATGAACATAATTTTTCATAAAAAAATTAAAAAATATACAAATTATTGGTCGCAACTTCTCAATAAGTGGGTGATGTATAATTGTGAAGCACTCTATATAATTGATTCGTAAATGTAAATATTAAAAAAAAATAGCTGTAAATATTAATATACAGTGGTCGAAATAATTTTAAAGATTTAGTCAAAGAATGAATTATATTTTTATAAGAAAATAACCTAAATTAAATACTTACATTACTTTCTTTTTATTTGCTATGTGCTTCGTTAATGTCAATACTAAACAAAAATTTTTTCTAACATCATATTTGCTTCCTGAATGTGTTATATAATTTTGTATATTTTAAACTTCTTCACCCTATTTCTGTCCCTTTTTAAAAATATTAATATATTTTTTAAACTTTATTTGAAATGTTTAAATTGGTGTTGGATTAACTTAATTAATAGTATTGTAAATATGAGCATGATTTTATCTAAATAAGCTGATTTTTACTAAACTATAGTCATCTGCTTTTTGTATAAATAAAATCCATTATTTATGAATTATATTTCATTTGAGAAATAATAATTTGTTACTTTATTTTTCAGATATCAGAATCTAACTGGTTGCATCCACAATAATAATTTTACCATTTTATTTTAATTTCAGATTGCTGTGCAAAAGACGTGTTGAAGCATCAGCAGCTACGTTTATAAAAAATATATATTTTAATATATACATTATTTATTTTTAGCTATTTAAATTTTTTTAATTTTTCGTTTAGATTGTATATATCGGAGTCATTGGATAATGAAGGTCTTCAACATGTTGGATGAAAGGGCAAGGGACAGTCTGACAAAGCATCCTTAGAAATGTCTCGATTCAGACGAGGTAGTTGCTTAATTACTAATGAACTTCAATTTTGCATACTTATAATTGTTTTATTTATTTTTTTAATATTTAGCGGAAACTCATCAAATTGCAATTTAATCTAACAGGATGAGGAAAATTACGAATGTTTGCAAGCGCCAGATGAGATAATTGTTTTAGACACTACTGCTGCATCAAGCCAGTCACAAGACATAACGCTACAAGCGCCACTATCGAATTCCGAAAATTTGGTTACACATGATGTCAATGTGTTATTCTCGAGCGGCTCCATGGATATAAGTAATTTATGCAACTGGCCGCTAGAAGCTACACATAGTCAAAGTCTATATATAAGTCGGAAAAACGCAATCAAATTTTGCAAAGTTGTA